CCCTTGATTGTAATAATTAATAATCCATCTGTCTACAGTTTTGAGCTTCTAGCAAGTGACATCCGTTTTTAAAATTTAATTAGGCTGATGGACTGTACACTACCGAGTATTATCTCGTCTGAAACCATCTCCAGTAATTATTCTCTGTATTAGAAATAAGTCACTTTGTCTGACTTTATTTGGATTACCCTAGGTAATTTACACACTTACTGTGCAAAAAACCACTGTGAAAAACAGTGAACTTCTAAGTGCTTTCATGATTTCCCACATTATCCACATTTCCTTGATAATGTGGAAATGAAAATGTTTCAAAGCTCACTATTTTTTTCACAGTGGCTGTTTTGCATATTGTGATATCACTATTTACTGGGGACTTTATTGCATATGTTACTATGTATGAAATTTGTACTTGTGTGGACCTGTATCTGGATACTGTACTTACTATGTGGTTCAGTGAAAGAGAAATTTCAATTACTCCGATATGGAAAACTCGAGGAAATTATAACTACGTATATCGGAGTATAAAACAAAAATTCCAACCACACAAAAATAGAGCGAAAAAACTAATGTGAAGGTCCTGGGAGGATAATGTCAGGGATCTCGCTCTCAAAGATCACAACACTACTAATGCATCTGCTAGGAAAATGATAGGATGGAAAAATGAGAACCTTCAAAACTAGGAATGCCAAGCCCATGATGATTCTCTTCAAATCGCTCGTTCCGCTAGGCTATACACTAAACACCCCCCTGGTGGTTAACGCTCTCGCTTCACACGGCGAGGGCCTGGGTTCGATTCCCAGCCAGAGTAGAAACATTGGCGTGTTTTCTTTCCACCTGTTGTCTATGTTCCCCATCAGTAAAATGGGTACCTGGGTGTTAGTCGACTGGTGTGGGTCGCATCCAGGGACACTGACCTAATTTGCCCGAGATGCTCAGCATAAACAATGGCTTTCTATCTAGTAGTATGTCATTGTTGTCACTAGACTGTATACCATGTACATGCCTTGTAGTAAATAAAGATTATTATTATTATTTCAAAGCAGGCAAATTGCAGACCTGGAGAATGCACAGAGAAATTTCACAGCATGCCCTAAATACAAAATTATTTATTATAATCACGGGAGGAGCGCTAAACTGAGGATTATTACAGCGCATTGGGGGGGGGGGGGGAGATATTCAGGCTCAATTCAGGGAACCGAATCAGATCCAATTCCCAAGATCAAGAGCCTCACCAACATCAAGGAACCCTTGAGGGGATAAGTAAAAAAAAGCACCTAAATTAGAGATGTTAGAAGCCTCTTGATTTGTACTCCCTGGGAAAACAAGTGAGATTTTTATTATAATCAAAAGGAAGTGCTAAACCTACAAGGGTCATTTCAGCACAGAGCACAGGTGAGGAAGATACATCATAATATACACTTGAAAAAATTCCTAGAGGGACTAGTCCAAAATTTGCAAATGAAAATCACTTCTTACAAAAGCAAAAGACTTGGCAGGAGATGTAACTTCCCCTTAATGAAAAGCAGGGGTGCCATGAGTATGCAAAGAGACAACACAGTAAGAGTCAGGGGCCCAAGACTGTTCAGTTGCTTCCCAGCATATATAAGGGGATTACCAATAGACCTCTGGCTGTTCTTCAAGAAGGCACTGGACAGGTACCAAAAACAGTACCTGATCAGCTGGGTTGGGTTTTTACCCGTTTGCGTGCACCCCAGTAACAGCCTGGGTTGATCAGTCCCTGACCACCACGAGGGGCCGGTCACAACCGGCCAGGGGGCATCGACCCCCCCAAA